CACCATGGCTGCTAGGCAGCCCATGGCATGGCGCCATGGTGCGTGGCAAGGTGCTTGCTGTGCCTAGCAAGCAGTGCTGCTGGCCCAGCTGCCTGCTAGCATGCTGCGCATGCTTGCTAGCACGCTGGTGCCTGCGAGCATCTGGCCTGCTGGGCAGGCGCATCATGATGCTCGTGGTGCGCTTGCTGATGCTTGCTGCCCTGCTGCCCAGCAGCATGCTTCGCAAGCCAGCCCAGCCACCCCACGCACCCTAGCCATGCATCCCAGCCACACACACAGCGCATAGCAGCATCAAGCCTCACCCTTGTGCGCACCATAGGCAGCCACATGTGGGCTGCTAGGCAGCCCGGCTAGCCTCGGTGGCACTTAGGTGTTTTGCCTCGATTTGCGTGCTATGACTCGGGATTTTAATCCCAATTTACGTGTGACATTAATCAATTCTAAATTACATTTTAAAATTAATTTAAGGGAAAATAAAATAAAACAAATTAAGTCTAACTTAAATAAATTTATTTTATTTGTGCATAAGCCTAAATTTATCCAAAATTCTAATTTTGAACAAAATTAGGTCAAACTTTATGCTTAAGATAAAATGAGCTATGTCCAAAATTAATCTTGCCAATATGCAAATTAATAGTGGATTTGACAAAGGGAAATTGGAAAAATACACTAATCATCCAATGATAAAATTTTCCAACTTTCATACTTGTGTAAAATACCAAGATTACATCTTCCAATATGAAGATTAATCAAATTTTACTCACAAGTAATTTGAACTTAATGGATTTTATTCAACCAAAACATGAAAAATCCAAACTTTGTTCAACATGGAATTTAGGGTTTGGGTTCCAATCATTTAAACACTTAAAGATTAGAACTTTAACATTACTTGGGAACTTAAAATATAGAATCACAACAAGTTTTCACACTTTATTGCAATTTATTTGCAAAATTGTGAAAAACAAGTTTGTGTGATAACTTGGTATATCAACTCAAGCACTAATAAACATTCCATTATTATGCTCAAGGATATTTTAAAAACCAGAAGATTAGTGATGCAAAAATGCATTTAATCTAACCTTGTAATGCTTGCATTAATCAAGGCTTAAAAGAATTAAAAATTTTCGTTGAAAAACGAAAAACCCCAGAAAATCTGGGTTTCTGGTTCGAATTTGGCTTCTGGACAACCCTAAAGGACTGAAACAGTTCCAGAATGTCGATTCCACCCAAAAATCACTATTTTTGAGTCAAAATCTGGGTTCGACAGCCAAATCGAAAATAAAATCGAGTTTTAAAAAAAAAAAAAAAATTAAAACGAGCATCTAATCTAATTAGATGAACATGAACCAGAAAATTAAATTCTTTAAAACACCTTAATTAAACAATAATTGCAAAAATTAAAAGGAGCGTGGCTCCGATACCGCTGTAGGGTTTCGTAGCGACCCGGCACTACGCGGAAGGAAACCCACCAAGACCCGCCCCTTAATTAAAGCAATTAACAAGCATATTAAACTTAATCAAACAAGATTAAGAACAAGAATTATACCTTTGTCGCCTGCTTCGCCCCCAAAGAGCTCTTACTTCAAATCCCGAAAATACGAGATCTCCGACGGATCGTACCCTCGACCCGACCCGAGCGTCCTAAGTCTTGAAAGTTAGTCAAGACCCGGACAAAATAAAACTATGAGTTTTACGAATCAAAGGTTTACTCTTTTCTAGAGTTGCCTTTTTAATTCCACTCAAGGTTGTATCAAACCCCAATACCAAGCTTGGTATTTATAGGGAAATGATCCCTTGATTCTCATTCCCCAACCAATGTGGGAGAATGAATTTTGCTAATTAATTTATTTCTAAAATAAATTATTAAACAAAACTAATCACAATGCAACAAGTGTCAAGAGGGGAGAGATTGTTAGGTGAGGACCATGGAGAAGTGGGGGGGACCATTGCCTTGTTCCTCAAGGCCTTTGCCTAAGCTTGGTCCCCACCCCTCACCAAAACCGCCACCTCAATGGGCATGCTGGGCTGCTGCCAGCTAGAACGCCAGCTAGCATGGCGTTGGCCAGCCCAGCCAGCTAGCATGGTGCTGCCAAGCAGCCTCGCATGCCTAGTGCTAGGCCATGCTAGGCGCTGGTGCTGGCCAGTGCTAGGCGCTGCTGCTGGCAACCTAGCAATGCCTATCGCACCACGCATCTCTCTCTCCGCATCGCATCGCTAGCACAGCCAGCATGCGTGCTGCTAGCGAGCCACGCATGCTGGCCGCACTGGCCCTCGCATCATTCGCATACCCCATCGCACACACGCACTGGCACGATGCCTACGCTAGCACCAGCCAGTGCCTAGCACTGCTTGTGCTTGATGCGAGGCATGCGCACACGCACACGCACTCGCATGCGTGGTGCTGCTGCCTAGCACCTAGCCAGGCATTGCAAGGACACGCACCAACCATGCGCCACGCACCACGCACTGCCTGCTCAGCACGCATCAATGCGCCTGTGATGCGAGGCTGGTGTGCGATGCCTGGCATCATGCTGGCGCGCAGCCTCTCGCATGTGCTGCGATGCTTGGTGCTGCCATGCGAAGGCTAGCACCCAAGCACACGCACATGGCGCGCCATTTCCAGGCAGCCAACCATGCTAGCACTTGGTGCTTGCGATGGTGCTGCCAGACCAGGCACGCACGCACGCAGCACCTAGTGCTTGCTATGGTGCGCCTGGTGCTGCCATTGCCTGCAATAGGCGCCACATGTACCCAGGCACCACGCTAGCATACTTGCTAGCTGCTATGGGCTGCCGGGTGCCTGTGTGGCCTGCGATGGCTGCCATGCGCCCCTAGGCACCCATGCTAGCTTGCGATGGGCTGCTAGGGTGCGCCTAGGCTGCGATGGTGCCTAGCACACCATGGTGCGCCTAGCACACACATGGTGCACCTAGGCATGCTATGAGCTAGCCTAGCCTAGCTACGGCTACGCTCATACTTGTTGCTTGTGATTTTACGACGCTCGGTATCGACGCCCTAGGCTCGATTTCCGACGTCTGTATTCGTAAAACTCTGTCGACTCATTAAATCCTTTCGGATTAATTCGACGTCTCGGATCGGAGATTCGATTGGGTTCGACCCGAAGGGTTCAGTTAAGATTAAGCTGTAATATCAATTGTACCTCGATATTACTGATCGGAAGCGGCCTCCACCTAGGCATCCCGATCACTTGACCTTACTGAAGAATTAACTCTGTAATAATTCTGAACCCTCTATCAGAATAATACACTTGTTGGAAGGACACCATTCCTTTCAGTGGTAACAATGACAGCATTGTCAAGTGGCAGCAGCATGCATGATAACAATTATAATTACAATAATCTAGGCCATGTTGAAGGTTCTTCCTGTTACAGAATGATATACTCTGACGCTTAATTTGCCCAACAATCTTCAACAGTTTCCTCTTATCTTGTGCTAGCTTAGTCAATGTATTTATCTTATTCCTTAATTATAAGATTTGTTATCTTTTCTATTTATCTTTATGCACCTGTAACTCTATATATAGCTTTGTATATTCTTGTAATCAATCAGTGAAAAATATAATACAAAAATATTTATCATTATATGGTATCAGATTCCTTAATTTGAAACCGTAACACCCTTCCGCTGCTTTCAATGGCCTCCTCATCCCCAACCTCTTATCAATTGGTCAACCCCTCTAATCCCATGCAACCTTTCATTGTTGTTAATATGCAAAATATTCTCAAGCTCACTCCCACAAAATATCTTTCTTGGAAACTACAAGTTGAGGCCTTACTCGTAGGTCACGACGTTTTCCACTTCTTTGATGGAAGTACACCATGCCCTCCACCCACTATCACTGTCGATGATGTTGAATAACCTAACCCAAACCACATAGCCTGGACTCGCCAAGATCGGTTTTTTTTTTTGGCTCATTAATTGGCTCTATCTTTCCCAACCTTGTACCACTCATCTCCCAAGCCAAAACCTCTGCCCAAATTTGGGAGAAACTACATAAAACCTACGCACTCCCTTCCCGTGGTCATATCAAACAGCTTCGTGACAAATTTAATCGTATCATTAAGGGCACTTCATCCATCTCTGATTATATGCGCTCCCTTAAGGAGTGTGCAGAACATCTCACTGCTCTTGGTAAACCCATTGATCACGAGGACTTTATAGACCGTGTCCTCGCTGGTCTTGATGACTCTTACAAGTCTATTGTAGACTCTATAAATGATAGAGACACAATAATCTCCTTCGAAGAGCTTCACGAAAAGCTCATCAACAAGGAGCTTTCGATCCCACAAACTCAAACAACCCCTGCCACGTCTCTACCCTCAACTGCCTTTGCTGCTTTCTCTAAACCGCAAAACCGTCCATCACCCAAAAAACCCATCTCAGGGCCTTCTTCCTACTCCCTCCTCAAACCCCCCTAAAAACCCTCGCCCATTCCTCGGAAAATGTCAATGGTGCCGAGAGCAAGGCCATGTTGTGGCTCGCTGCCCTCTCTTCACACGCCACTTTCCGTTAGCCACCCCCCTCCTCCTCCTTCACGCTCCACCTTCACTCCCACCCCTCGACCTTCCTCTCACCCGCAAGCAAACCATGCTCAACTCACCTTGCCTTCTTCTCCTTCTACTCCCTACACTAGGCGAAAAACCCCAATCCCCACCGGTTCAAACCACACATTCCCCACCGGTTTTGAACCGTTCTTGATTTGGGGGGTGCTAAATCCCCAAAGATTTCCCACCGGTGGCAAAAATCACTTTTCCCACCAGTTTTGGAGTGAACCGGTGGCAAAAACATGTGATTTATCTTATAACTGGAGGACTTTTCCCACCGGTTTTCAAGTGAACCGGTGGCAAAACTATAACATTTCCCACCGGTTTTCACACTGACCTGGTGGCAAAAGTGCCCCAAAAAATTAAAAAAAAAAAAAAAATTTTTTTGCATTTTTTTCACTAAAATTGTACCAAATACTTATATATAATCATAATATACATAAAACACATATATTTGCCTCAATAACTTGTAATATTACACTTTAAAAAACTAAAAAAAATAAAAAGTTTCCAATAGCTATATGCTGCCTGTTTTGCAATTCTGGCTGGTGCATTTTGCTCCTTGTTGTTGGTGCTGCCTACTGTTGAGTGTTACAGCCTATTAGTCTGCATGATGCATATGAAAGATATTAAATAATGCACGCCATTACAAAAACATGTATATCCAGTGAAAAGTCGAGAGTCTATGGATTGGGACTCGAGAAGTCGAGAGTCTATAACTCTAAAAGCATCTCACATAATAATAATCAATGGAAAAAATATAACACTGCACAAGTTATTCAGTTCAACTGAGAATTAATTATAACAATACTTTTCCTCATCATTCTTTGACTTTTTTATTTCATAATAAGGTGTAATTTTTGACACATGAGCAGCCAACAACAGAGTACACAAATGAAAGGGCAAGGTGTCCTCAGAACACACATATCACACAAGTTAGCCCAATTCATCATATGCTTTTCATACAGGACAAAGCAGCCTCGAGCTAAACCTGTACCTTTCTGTTCTGGGTTTTCTACATGGGCTAGAAACTATAATTCGTTTTTTAGTTACGAGTAATTGAATAAATCAAACATAAGATGAACAAGGGTTTCCTCTTTATATTTCTGCACATTACCTACTTAAAACTCTGCCCTCAAGAAATGAAAATAATGTATCCAATTCTTCCAGTAGTCTGAGCTAGAATTCCTGATTTCAAAGAAGTAAATTGTATGAACTCTTAACAAAGACAGGGTATCTCTGAAAGTTTTAATTCCTGGGAGCAAATTTATGTTGAAACCTACCTTTTGAGTTTTGAGGACTAAAAGATTGTAGACACCTATGGTTTCAAGAAGTTTTCTCAAAACATAAAAACTTAAAGAATTCATAAGTGCTGACTACAAATCGATAACAGAAAAATATTTTTTTTCACCAAAATGGTTTCTCAATGTATAAATCAAGAGGGGCCTATGCCATTACATATTCATAGTTCTTTGCATTGTCCTAAGCAATTCTAAATTTGGTTTTACCAATACTGGGTTCACTTTTTATAGAATTTGAAGAAAGTTTCCCAAACTAACTAAGCAAAATTAGGAACATTGAACAAAAACATGAACTTTCAAAAATATAAAGAAATGACAGTGGCTTTACGAATTTTATGCATATAAAGAGTCCGTATGTTGGAGCTATTCAAATTCCTTAAACAAAATCAATGGTGAACAACATAGTAATATGCACATAAGAGTGATACAAGTATGCTAATTAGTTCAGAAAAAAATGTACAAAAATATGAAAAACAATAGATGAAGTAGATATAATTGCCATATGAAACAAATTAGACAAAAATCCTAGGCTTACCATGCCCAATAGTAATGCAGCTGTTAACCCTGCACCCGGGCCCTTCACTCCCTGAAAGATCATATTATTCAATGTTAACCAGTTAAATAAATAATAAGGTCCTCTCACTTAATTATATTAGGGTAGAAGGAGGAGGCACAACAGTATATATATTAGTTAAGGATAATGAAAAAGAAGAACTGACCTTTGTGAGAAAATAGGTTGGCCATGATGCGAAAGCAGAAAATACTGGTGCAGTATACACACAGACAAAGGGATGTTCACAGAATGCAGCAACCTATCAACACAAAACAATGTTAATTCCTTTTCTCTCAGGTCAAGAACTAAAAAAAAATTACTAGAAATAGAAATTGTAGAATATAAACAAAGATTACATGAACCAGTGAAGCACACAATAAGATACAGACCAGAGTTGGGACAAATCAGTTTGATTAAAAAATGGAAAACTTACCACCACATGGTACCTGCCAATCACACGACCCAGCGGGTACCTGAAAGGGGGATAATCACATTAAATATTTTAGAACATCCCGTACAAATCTATCCAAAAGGAACAGGCAATGAATTTATATATATTGGTTAGCCAATTATAACAACAATTACCAGGTTATGTCGTCAAACCAGTTCCAAAAGTCATATATGCCATTCTTTGTGAGAAACTGAAAATTTGCCGTTCATCGAAAGTGTAAGACATCAGCTTTCAGCCATTCACAATATCACATACTATAAAAGTTTGTAAAAGATATCATTAATAGAAAAATAGGACAAAAAGGACACTATATAGATTAACACCGTATCAAACAAGGTGTAGACTACAATGATATTGCACTACCTTAGACAAACAAGGTTAAGTTGATAGAACTGAAATGCATTATGCATTATCAGAAAATGTATTATCCTTTAATTTGACAATTGGATTCACAATCTCCCATTCTGCTTTCATTCAATAGAATATATGGCTAGCTTTCTCAGCAAAAATTCAGTGATCGTTATCAGTTTAAACATCGTCCCATCTCTTCATGTTTTTCATTAACATATGATTAGTCATTTCTCACAACCCACAAACAACACAAAGGTTTTAATAACTAAAAATAAATGGGTAAAAAAAAGTCACTAAGATATATAAGCCAAGTACCCCCAAAGTCAAATCTAACAAATTTGAATTAAATAAACAGTAGAAACAATAACAAAACAAAATTCATATATCGCACTATTTGTCATTGTTATAGTCCTTCCAAAGTGAAAGCTTGTAGGTTGCAGAAACTTGGAACAATAATTAAGTATATCATGTCATACGTGTTTCTAACTTCAGTTAATGTGTCTTTCATCACACACTGGAGCATTGCAGTTAAGATTGAATCCTTTAGTTCACTGCTTCAGTTAACAAAGGAGCTTGGCAAATATCATGACCAGAGAAACAAAGATTGTGTATTAACTAAAACTTAGAGTTGAATTATGATAAATCATAAATTAGCTTATAGCTCGTCCAGTGACTATTTCAAGGCACAGATCTTTAGACATCTTATCAACAAATTCAATAATTTGACAGCTAAGACTCTAATTTGTTCTAGCTTACTTTGTAAGAAATTAAATTAATATAACTTATCTGAATATATACAAGCTTATCTTTAACTTTTCAGAAAATCCTGAACTTATCGTCAGCTTACCTGAACTTATAATATCTTGGCAGAACTCATATTATTTCCCTGTAGAAGCACTAACTTATTTTGTTTAAAATAAACTTGTTTGAACTTAGTTTGTCTAATATAAGTCATAATAAGCTATAATAAGTTAAACCAAATGGACCCTTAAGATAGTAATATGAACAAGACCTAAAAGTTAATCTATTGTGGATATTATGATTTTCCTGAAAGAGCACTAAAGCTTGGCACCCAAATTTGTATTTCAAAATAACCTACACTATTCAAGAAAAAAAAAAGTAGATAAACAACGTCCGCACTAAAAGCAGCCACATCAACAAAATTTGCTACAGAGCAAGATGATCAAGATTTACATTGATAACATTATTTATTTTCAAATCATACCAACAATCACATTTTCAGCTTTGAATATAAGACTCTAGAAACGCTAAAAAAGGGTCTCGACAAACTTATACTTATGATGCACAATTACAGAAAAAATTAAACACAGACTAACATAACCAAAAGGGTGACTCCTGTCAAACCAACAATGACATATGAAACATAAGTTGTAAGCTCAAACATAGTGTAAACTGCCAATACAAGACTGATCATCATACTTCTAGTAGCTTTTATAGGAAAAGAAAGCACAGTAAGGATATGCAAGCAAACCATAGGAATTTCTGTGTCTTTAGTACCGGCTAAGGATCGTTGGTTAATGTTAGCAGATCCCATTAAAACATACTCATCATAAATCTGCGGTACTTGTATGAATCTGAAATCTGATAGAATCATGTTGTCAGGGAACACATATTCAGCTTCATTTGATTTAAAAAACTATCAGTATATCATCTATCTAATGATCAACTTAAAAATTGAAACAAAAACACACGGAAGTCCTAACAATTTCAAGCATAACAAAGAGCAAAAAAGCAGATTGATTACTAAATTAAGCATCACCAAATTAAAGTTTACTAAACCGAACACAAAAATCTAGCAGTGTAATAATCTCACCCATAAACTGCAATACAAACCCAAAAATCTCAACAAAACACGAAAAGCTATAAATCCGACAATTCAATAACACAACATCGCTAGCAGATAAAATTTCATTACTGTTCAACCAAAAACAGAGAAATCTTCATAACTTAAAACTTAAAACTCGAAAAAGCACATATTTTTAGGGTTATTTGATTCAATTATCAAATTATGCTCGAAAAATAACATATTTTAAGGGATGTTTGATTCAATTATCAAATTAGGGTCAAAAATTCAGAGGGAAATTGGATTCAAACATCAAAAATAGTTGAGATTTCGAACCCTAAACTTACCGCATTAACAATTAAAATGAATCAATGTGGTAAGTTGAGGAAGTCAATGTTTGTAATTTATGAAACAATGGAAAAGGTCAGGAAATACCCACTTCAATCATGAATCCTGAAAGAGGAAGTATAACTAACAGTAATAGAGGGTTTGACCTCAACCCAACCCAACTGTTACAACATAATCCACCCAAAATCTCAAAGCAAACCACAAAGAACAGAAAACCCTAAATCAACGACTAACCCTAGATTGCGAAGCTATTCAATAGACTAGGAAGACCACGAAATATTTCTTACCTCGAAGCTGCTACAATGGAGTTGGAAAGCTCGGAATGCGCTTCAATGGAGGTCACAAAGCTCGACAGTATGCGCTTCAATGGAGGAAATAGCTATATATGGAGAGAAAGAGAGGAGTTGCGCGGCAATGGAGGTGAGAAAGCCCAGGGAATGTGCTTCAATGGAGGACAACCTATGCGTGAAGAAGATGGTGAGGGCAGGCGAGAACGAGAGAAGAAGATTAATTGAAGGGGAAGCAGGGGAATGAAATTGTTCGTGCTGAAGGAATTGAAGAAGAAGAGTATTTCACGGTTTTTTTTTTTTTTAATTTGCGTACTTTCCCCACCGGTTTGGGTTGAACCGGTGGCATATCCATTTACCCTTTTTTTTTGTTTTTTTTTTTTTTAAACAACACATTTAGCAAAACATACATTTGCCACCGGTTTCAAAGGAACCGGTGCGAAAAGTAAATATCCGAATCCCGCCCAGATCTTTTCCCACCGGTTTTTAAGAACCGGTGGGAAAAAGGGGGTGCCTTTTTCAATTTTTCTACTAGTGCTAGTTATTGGATAGTGGGGCATCCCACCATGTCACCAATGACCTTACTAATCTATCTCTTCATGCTCCTTATGATGGCACCGAAGAGTTGATAGTTGGTGATGGTAAGGGTCTTCATATTTCTCATATTGGATCTTCTGTTCTTTCTTCTCTAGTCCTTAATAATGTTTTATAGTATCATCTATAACCAAAAATATTATCTCTATTTCTTAACCTTTTCTTGATAACAGTGTCTTTATATTATTTCAATCTAACTCTTCTTTCTTAAAGGATCTTTCAAAGGCAAAAGTGTTGTTTCAAGGGACAACTAGCCGCGACATATATGAGCTTTCTTCCTCTCCTCCATCGGTCTACGCAAGCACATCTTCGTCTTCCATTGATTGGCACCATCGTCTAGGTCATCCGTCTAGGAATGTTTTTCATCATATTATTTCTGAAAATAAGTTAAATATATCTAGTATTTCCACTTTAGATTGTAATTCGTGTGCTTGCAATAAAAGTCATAAGCTCCCCTTTTCTATCTCTTCTATTAAATCTACTGCTCCTCTCGAATATGTTTACAATGATTTGTGGACATCACCAGTTTATTCTCATGATAATTATAAATACTATCTTATTTTTGTTGATCACTATTCCAAATACAGTTGGCTATATGCCATAAAACAAAAATCGGACACCAAGTCTGTTTTTCTTCGATACAAAGCTCTTGTAGAGAAATTTTTTCAACTCCCTCTAAAATCACTTTATTCGGATAATGGTGGAGAATATCTTACTTTGCAACAGTTTCTCACCATTGATGGTGTTTCTCACCTCACTACTCCCCCTCATACACCCGAACACAATGGTTTCTCTGAACGCCGCCACAGGCATATAGTTGAAACCTTCCTTTCTCTTCTTTCTCATGCGAATATGCCCCTTGAATTTTGGTCTCATGCCGCATCCACAGCAGCCTACTTAATAAACCGGCTACCCACACCAACTTTAATAATGTTTCACCATATATACTTTAAACTATTTGGTCACAAGCCTAATTACACTAAGCTCCGTAGCTTTGGGTGCTTATGTTACCCTTGGCTTAAACCATATACATCCCATAAACTCGATCAGAAGTCCAAACCATGTGTCTTTATTGGCTATTCTTCCTCCCAAAGCGCATATTATTGCCTTAAACCCTCCACCATGTGAATTCACACCTCTCGTCACGTAATATTCAATGAGCTATATTTCCTTATGCCGCATTAACTCAATCACCATGCATTACTACAGATAGCTTACTTGATCAGTGGGCTCCTCTAGCAATTCCATCACTCATACGCACATCTTCCTCCCTTACTCCCACTTTGTCCTCCTCGCCTGCCCACTCCCCATCACCTACACTTAACCCACCGCAAACACCATCAACCTCTACATCTCATCAATCACCGTCACCTTCTGCATCACCGCAAACACTTGCATCCTCTTCATCACTGCAATCATCATCTCCACCCCCTACTTTATCCTCCGTCTTGCAACCCCCACCTACCTTTCCTCAAATTGTTACTTGTCTTCAACATGGAATTCGAAAACCCATTACCAAACTCAATCTCAATATTGAAGCTCATGAATCCTTACTTCCTAGAAATATTACACAAGCTCTAAAGAGTTCGGTGTGGAGAAAAGCCATGGAAAATGAAATTCATGCTCTCCAAACCAACAACACATGGTCTCTAGTTCCCTCTTCTCCTTCCCAAAACGTAGTAGGCTGCAAATGGGTATTCCGCATTAAACGAGATAAAGATGGTGCTATCACACAACATAAAGCACGTCTTGTAGCTTGTGGTTTCACCCAACGAGTTAGCATTGACTACGGGGAAACCTCCAGCCCCGTAATCAAACCTACCATAGTCCAGTTGGTCTTATCTCTTGCTGTTACTCATGGCTGGCCCCTTCATCAATTAGACATTAACAATGCCTTTCTTCAAGTCACTCTAACTAATGATGTCTTCACCATCCAACCACCTGGTTTTGTTAACCCACAATATCCCACCCATGTCTACAAATTGAACAAAGCGTTATACGGTTTAAAACAGGCTCCTCGAGCCTGGTACACCGAACTCCGTCACCATCTTCTTCAACTTGGTTTTCGCAATTACCATCTCCGATCCTTCTATATTCACTCTCTTTGTAAACAACATCACCGTGTATCTTCTTGTCTATGTTGATGATATAATCGTCACTTCCAACACGCCCATATTTCTAGACTCTTTCATCACTCAACTATCTGCAAGGTTCTCTCTCAAGGCCTTGGGACCCTTTCGTACTTTTTAGGGTTTGAAGTCATGCCTCATCCTCATGGTTTATTCTTAAGCCAAACCCGTTACATAAATGATATACTTTGTAAGGAAAATATGGACAATGCAAATCCCACCTCTACTCCTCTTGCGGTCCATCCTCCCTTAACCAAAACCAGAAACCCTCTATCGGACCCTTCCCAATACAGAGCACTCATTGGCAGCCTCCAATATTTGAGTTTAACACGCCCGGATGTTGCTTTTTCCGTCAATAAATTGGCTCAATACATGCAATGTCCTACTGATCCCCACATGCAGTCTCTCCATAGACTTTTGCGTTACCTCAAAGGTACGTCTACCATGGGTCTTACCCTTCATAAAAACACTCCTATGACACTCCATGCATATTCTGATGCTAACTGGGCCAGGGATACGGATGATTTTATCTCCACGACTGCTTATGTGGTGTACATTGGTAGAAACCCTATATCATGGTCCTCAAGAAAACAGAAAACAAGAGCACGGTCCTCCACCGAGGCCGAATACAGAGCAGTAGCTGCTGCCTCCATCGAAATCTTATGGGTTCAGAATTTATTACATGAGCTTCGTCACCCCTTGTCTTCTACCCCGGTTATATATTGTGATAATGCTGGAGCAACATATGTGAGTGCAAATCCTGTATTTCATTCTCGTATGAAACACCTTGCTTTGGATTATCATTTTGTGCGAGAAAATGTACAAGCCGGGAAACTCCGTGTTGCTTACATATCCACCAATGATCAACTAGCGGATGCTCTTACCAAGCCTTTTCCCAAGCTTACATTCACTACATTAGTCAACAAAATCGGTCTGTCCTTGCCACATCCCGTTTTGATATACTCTGCCACTTAATTTGCTCAACAATCTTCAACAGTTTCCTCTTATCTTGTGCTAGCTTAGTCAATGTATTTATCTTATTCCTTAATTATAGGATTTGTTATCTTTACTATTTATCTTTATACACTTGTAACTCTATATATAGCTTTGTATATTCTTGTAATCAATCATTGAAAAATATAATAAAAAAATATTTATCTTTATACTTCCCTACAACAAAAAACCAATGCATTACACATTTGATTTGGGTTAATTTGCTGATATTAAAAGTATGGAAAAGGGGAAATGTTGGGAACGTATCCCATATTAAAGAAACAATAAAATAAAACAAGTTGTGTCCAATACTCCAAGACCATTTGAATTTATCAATTCAGTGAACTCTTGTTATGATGGTTACGATGTGGCCCAAGCCCATTTGCGCATTTGTACACTATTCATATTTTCGTTTTGACTATTAATAATAGTAGGATCCGATACTACCTTCAGTTTTGAAATTTTTAACGCTATGCATTTTTCATCCATGTTAGAAATTTCTGTGAGTGTTGAAGCTTGTTGTATCTCACTTGTGAGTGTCCCATATTGGAGAAAGAGGAGTTACTCTTACTATTGTCAATTAATTTTAGTATGAATGCTCCTAAGTCTTACTTGTGGACCAAACTCTCATCCTCCTTGTTCGGATTGCCTAAGCCCATTTCATATTGTCTCGAAATTTAACAGATTTTTCAAAATGTGATTTGATAGTTTAACAGTTTGAGTTTATAATAAATTATTATTTCTTTCCCCCTAATAGAGCTTAGACCTGGTAAACGGGTCGTTCGGGTCGAGTCAGTCACTATTCGGGTCGGGTCAATTTGGGTTTCTGGTCAATGGTAATTCGGGTCGGGTCGGGTATAGGGTCAACACTTCGGGTCAATCTTCGGGTCCATTTGTCAGGTCAAGTTCGGGTCAGGTCAATTTTGGGTCGGGTCAAATTCAGGTCGAGCCAATTCAGGTCGGGTCAATCTTCATCTAAGTCGATGTAGAAATTTGATCAATAATATAATATTATTATCAATAAGTATAAAGTATAACAATTAAATATCAATAAAATATTCATTAGACAATTCCAACAGTACTATACACTCAAGACGACTATATTGTTTCGTATGTATAATCACTATCATTGATTAATTGGTCATAGATTAAAATTAGATAAAGTAAATAGTGAGGAAAAAAAAAAAATCAATGTACTCCCTCCTTTCCAAAATACTTGGGACGTTGGGGTGGACACGTAGTTTAAGAAAACTATAAGTGTATAGTTCGGGTCACTTCGGATTTCGGGTCCGTTTGGGTCAATCAATTTGGATCGAGTCAATTCGGGTATCAGGTCAACTTCGGGTTGGGTTAATTCAGGTTGAATTAATTTGAATATCGGATCAAGTTCGGATCACCTCTACTTCGGTCGAGTATGAATCAGGGCGGATCAAATTCGTATTCAGGTCAATTTCGAATTTACATTTTCGAGTCACGGATCGAATCATTTAGATTAACGGATCAGGATTACCAGGTATACTTGAACTTGCTTTGACAAAGCCCATATAGCAAGTAAAATACCTTTTGTATTCCAATAAAATATTCCACACAACACTTTCATTTTAGACTATTATTCCAGATCAACAGTAGAGTACTATAATATTAAGTTCTAAACTAATGCTAATAATATTACGTCACGCCAATAAACTCATCAATGTTACGTCACGCCAATAAACTCGTCAATGTTACGTCACTTCTCTAATTGGGTTCATTTTTTACTACGAATGAGTAGTGTACATCACTCTTACTAGCCACCAGATGATCTAGATATCAAACGTTATTATTAAATGAATAA